AGTGCACTTATCCCAGAATTCTAGAGAATGTGTGTCGCGACCGAACTCCCGAGCCCTTTTTAAACAACATGCAAAAAAGGGGGGCTCGCCTGGTACGTGCTAAGTCTAGGTTTGGGACTTAACTCGGGCTCTCCCAAGCCCATACCATATCGCGACTTAGGGTTTAAGTTTCTTAACATGCATGTGATTTATATCAAGGAGTCGCCACTAATCGATTTGGAGTGGGCCGATTAGAAACCCAAATAGGGTGATGGGAGAATCACCCTATTCCTGCGAACCAGAGATTAACCGAGTTCGGGGACTTGGTTACACTAGTTAGATAACTAATGCCCTTTCGGTACCTTTCTACCCTGTTCATTTTTGAAAACATTTGTCAGGCAATTTGGATTGATTTTAGGACCTTTCTCCTAACATGTGAGGTGATCAAGCGAGTGCATAATCAGAAACGATTAGCAGTCAGGAACACAACAATTCATGCAGCCTAAGGTTCTAACCTTAACTAAGTCAGATGACATTCAAAACACAACAACTCATGCGATTGTATTAAAAACATGCATAATAATACAGCGATAATAAAAACTAACATGCAAAATATTACCGCGCAATTCTCAGGCTTGTCTAATTTAAACAAGACAAAAATATGCATAATAATACTACGATAAATTAAACACTTAGATATAATATAATTTTAAAAAAAGATTTTTTTTTAAAAAAAAATTTTCGAAAAAAAAAAAAAATAAAATAAAATAAATACAGAAAAAAAAATTTTAATTTTTTTTAAAAAAATTATTTTTTTAAATAAAATAAAATAATAATATAATATAAAACCGGGTCGGGTCGGATCCGAACCGGGTCGAAACCGACCCGGGTCAACGGATCCGACCCGAGCGTTGACCCGGGTCGGATCTGTTGATTCGGGTCGAATCCGACCCGAACATACAGACCCGCGGGGAGGCGCCGGTGGAGCCAAAAATGGCCGTCCGCCGGCCGACCCAGACCGGTAACGCCCCCAAACCTGCTTCCTGGTTGAACGCCGAGCTTCACCACTTACCTAGACTCACCGTCCGGCCACCTGTTCGCCGGCCGGCGACCAAAACGAAACCAGCCTCACTGAGGTATTTCGTCAAACAGTTGACGCGTGTGCCAAAAAACTGAGGTGTTTTGCCCTCCTCCGACGAACCGGTCGGCTCCGGCGGCTACGGCTGGTTCTCAACTGAAACTAGGGATTGGGACCGGCGACGGCATGGACCGGGAATCACACGACACGGCCGGCGTGAATCCCAGCCCGATTGTATCAAAAAACAGAGCAGGACAGGGAGTCTCGGCCGGGGGAAAGCTCACCGGTGACGGCTCGTCGGGGCGGCTTTCTGGCTATTCCGTGGGCGACGACGATGCTGCTGGTTGTCCTTCCTGCTCCGGCGTGGCCTCGGTTTGCTCCCTCTCTCTCTCGATTCTCTCTCTCGTCTCTCTCAGTCTCTCTCTCCTCTGTTTCTCAATGAAAATGGCCGACCGGGACTCTCTCTCTCTCTCTGTGTCGCCGCCGTCGGCTCGGCGACGGGGATGGATGGCTGAGGCGCGGTGGCCGCCGGAAGAGCTCTCAGTTTCTTCTGTTTCGCTCCGTCTCTCTCTTTCTCTCCCGGCTTCTCTCTATATCTCAAAACGGCCGACCGGGACTCTCTCTCTCTCTTTCTGTCTTTCATAGCCGACGACGACGAGTCTGGGCCCGGTCGCGTCGGCGTGACGATGGCCTGCACCGGCCTACGCCACCCCACGACTTTCGTGGCTATGGCAGGCCGGTGCAGAGCAGGGGGGCTGCTCAATGTGCCGAGACGGAGAGGAGAAGGAGAGAGAGAGAGAAAAAGAGAGACCAGGAAACAGGGGGAGAAGGGACTGGCCTTAATGGCCAGTCCCTGTGGCGTGCTGCCCCGGTCCTGCTCTGGCCGGATGGGGACGGGGCGGCCGCGCTCAGCCGCTTGTCGCCTCTGCGTCAGCGGCAGAGGAAAACAGGGGGAAGGAGAGCGACCGCTTGGCGAGGGGGAAGAAGAAAGGAAGGGGCTGGGCCGGGCCAGGCCCAGTCCGCATGGGGAGGAGGAGAAAAAAGAAAAAGAGGGCTGGGCTGGCCTTGGCCCGGCCCGATCCGATTTTTTTTTTTTAAATAATTTTTTTTAAATTTTTTGAAAATTAATTAAGAAAATATGCTCTAATAGACCCTATTAATGCAAATATGCCTAATGTCTATATGCAATGCATTTAAATAGAAATTTTTTTGTTTTAGGAATTAAAGAAAATTAATTCCTAAATTTTGTGCAATTAATTTTGGGCAAATTAAAAATAGGTGTCAACAATGTGGAAAATGGATCATAATATCAGACACATGTCTCGGTCCACGAGATGGCCACCGGAGTATTGATCTCGAGGGAAAAGTGTCAGAAAAGTTTTAGACCTTTTATATTTGTGCCAATTGAGTCCTAAACTTTTTTTGGGTGTCAATTGAGTCCTCAACCTTTTTATCTTTGTGCTAATTCAGTCCTTCCGACTAATTTTGACCGGATTTTACTAACGTGGACGCCGGCCGGCGTCCACGTGGACAATTTTTATTAATCTTTTAATATTTTTTGAATTTTTTTGATTATTTTTCTTTTTTCTTTCTTTTTCTTTTTTTTCCTCTTCTCCCTCCTTACTCCAACCGGTCGCCGAACCAGCAACCGGCCAGAGGCTAGAGACCGGAGGCAGGCCACCGGCGAGGCTCGCCCTCGCCAGCGACGGCGAAGGCGAGCCTCGCCTAGCCACTAGCGATGTCGGGCCTCACCCAGCCGCTAGTGAGGGCGAGCGTCGCCCATGGTCAGCGAGGCCAGCCTCGCGGCCGTCCGGTGAGGGCGAGCCTCGTTGGTCGCCGGTCCAGCCGATGGCCGGCCTCTAGTCTCTAGCCTCTGGCCAATCGCCGGACCGGCGACCGGCTGGAGTAAGGAGGGAGAAGAGGAAAAAAAAAGAAAATAAAGAAAAATAAAGAAAAAAGAAAAAAAATCAGAAAAATAATAAAAATTTCAAAAAAAATATTAAAATATTATTAAAAATTATTCACGTCAGCGCCGACCGTGCCACGTAGACCAGCCGGCATCCACGTCAGCAAAATCGGATCAAAATTAGCCGAAAGGACTGAATTGGCACTATATCAAAATGTTTACGACTCAATTGACACCAAAAAAAAGTTTAGAACTCAATTGGCACTAATGCAAAATGTTTAAGACTTTTCTGACACTTTTCCCCTGGTCCTTATGATTGTCCTCTTCTCTTCTCGACGCGAAAACTCTCGCGTCGGATCTCTTGGGAGTCGCTTTCTTCACTTGATTTGCGGAACGAGAGAACGTGGGGTTGCCAGGGAGCGTTGAGGACGAGAAGGGAGTCGATTGCACGGCTTAGGGTTTACGGGGAATGGAGAGGCTAAGATTGCAAGATGGTTTGGCGGGTTATGGTTTCTATGAAGATGTGGGAATGAAATGCAGGATTGTTGATGGTGTGTTTATATACTCTGGATAAGCAGAAACTTGACGTGCAATCTAAGGAGAAAGAAAGAATGGAACGAAGAGGGGGTGGCCGAAAAATGTGTAGCAGGAAATGTCTTTGAAGCGCGTTTCTTTACTTTTGGCTTTATCTGAAAGACACAGTGGTAGGGCCGGGAAAGTGACACGTGCCTTCCCTCTTACGAGCCACTGCGCCATGATCTACTACGACTTTGGAGCAAGTCTTGCAAGTGCCCGATGTACGTAGATGTGAACGCACTCCATCTCGGCTATAAATTATGTTAATTTTACGTGAGTCTCATAATATTAACCGATGCTAATGAAGTTCGTTCATATGCTTTGGACGCATACATGAATTCCTTTGTGATTTATAGCATTTTCTTCGAGCACTCGAAAAATTCATCCGACCTCTTTGATCCCTTATTAGGATTTTTCTAGATAGCAATAGGGCTATTCTACGATCCGCTTTGTTTGCAGCACAAGATTGCACCTCATGCACTCAGACTACCAGCTGAGATTGAAAGTGGCCTCGAGCCAGAACCTAGCAAAAGATCATGTATAAGCTGAAGGGATTCTTGCGCTTCAACCGATTGACCATTTGAGCCCCAACCAAGATGATTCCGCAGTATCCGTGTTGGCGGGGAGTTTTCAAGGAAAGGGATGGCTATTTCTTCTTCGCCTTGGCAAAGAGCACAGTACATTTCTATTTTTAGCACCTCATGCAGATCACTTTTTCAAGCGGACGGCGGCGACCGCACTCTTTCCGTTTCAAAGTCGAAGTCGCGCACTCCGGGGGTAAGAGAAAAGTAATGTCTGCGGCTGTCCTAGACACACGATCTTCCCCTTCCATTTCGCTAAGACCTAGTAGCAGTCGAGACACATTCGTCCTCGTGAGTTCCTCGACAATTTTTCGAAAAGCAAAAGTCCAGGTTTCTGGAAGTTGATGCGTCGGCCCCAGAGTATACAGAAATCGTGCATGCACTCTCTCGGTGGCCTTCATATCCGTTTCCTTAACTCGGGTGAAAATAATAATGTCATCCGCATAGAGTAGACAAGTAATTGGAGGGCCATCTCTGGACGGTTCTAGTTGATGAAATTGTTTTCGATTTACACGATCAATGTAATGCGATCGAGTAATTACATTATCTAGGATCTTCTATTCTCAGTTCATCATTCCGGGGAAGCTCGATTGCACATCTGGTGAGGCGCGAGATTCGGAGTTTAAATTCGATTGGCGTGGTCTTAGCAAAGCAACGCTAATTATGAGTTAAACCCGTACTTCTGGAACAAATCAAGGAATTATGACACGTATCATTTGCCGCACCATATGCCCCTTAAGGCTTAACAATACATTGATTAGAACCGTTAAGCATGTGGCTTTGTGAATCTTAAGCATGCTTAACGATGTAAACGCTTGCATATGGTCGTGCTTAACCAATTTACTGGCTTTTGACTTAGGGATTTTCATGGAGATGAGGATTTCCTGAAAAGCACAACTGTAACATTTATCGGAAACATCTTAAACTGAACGTTGCACATAAGTTATTAGTCATGCGTGGCGAATATGTTTACGAACAAAGAAAGAAAGGCAAGTACCGACTAGGTTTTCTAGGCTCAGAGATGAACCGTTGCCAAGATGTCTCTGGTCACCTCGGCCAGGCGGAACAAGGCCAATGCTGAAGATGTAGGTACACTGAACACCACCAAAGTCGCCACTCCGAGAACAACGCTGGGTCTAGCGTTCATCATCTGAGACTGCAGAAACCCCACGGTCTTGCATATAATCGAGTCATAGCTCGTGTAGCAACGCTTCTCCCAGTCCATCCACTCGGGAGGCGGCTCGCGGCCCCGCTCCGCCATCCTCATCTCATGGATCCGTTTCCGGAGCACGACCATGTCTCGGTCCACGTGGTGGCCGCCGGAGTACTGGTCCATACCATCGTACTCTTCCCTCCTCGACGCGAAAACTCTTGCGTCGGATCTCTTGGTAGCCGCTTTCTTCGTTCGATTTGCGGAACGAGGGAAGGCGGGGTTGCAAGGGAGCGTTGAGGGCAAGAAGGGAGTCGATTGCATGGCTTACTTAGGGCTCACGGAGAATGGAGAGGCCAAGATTGCAAGATGGTTTGGTGGGTTATGGTTTCTATGAAGATGTGGGGATGAAATGCAGGAGTGTTGATAGTGGGTTTATATATACTCTGGACAAGCCGAAGCTTAACGTGTAATCTAAAGGGGAAAGAATATAACGATGAGTGGGGGTGGGGGCGAAGGTTGGCCAAAAAACGTGTATTAGAAATTGTCTTTGAAGCGTGTTTCTTTTCCTTTGGCTTTATCTGAAACCATTCGAGAAAGACCCAGCTGTACGGCTGGGAAAGCGACACGCGCCTTCCCTTTTAACTGCCGCCGCGGCGCCGCAATCTACTTCCACTTCAGAGCAAGTCTTGCAAGTGCCCAATACACGAGGATGTGAGCCTGCTCCATCTCGGACATTAGATCATGTAAATCCCACGTGAGTTTCGTAACATTGTCTGATGACAATGAAGTAAGCTCACATGCTTCACGCATACAAAATTTTTTTCATGATTTCGAGCATTTTCTTCGAGCACCCGAAAAACTGATCGACCCTCTTTGGTCCCTTTTAAGATTTTCCGTATATAGCAATAGATTGCATTGACCTTTTGCGCTCGTACCGTTTGACCATTTGAGCCCCAACCAAGGTATCCGTGTCGCCGGGGAGTTTTCAAGGAAGGGGATGGCTATTCCTTCTTCGCCGGAGCAATGAGCGCAGTGCATTTCTGTTTTTAGCACCTCATGCGGATCACTTTCCCAACCGGACGCCGCCGACCGCGCTCTCTCTGTTCCAAAGTCAAAGTCGCGCATGGTGGGGGCGGGGATAAGAGAGAAGCAATGGCCGCGGAAATCCTAGATACACGATCTTCCCTTCCATTTCGCTAAGACCTAGTAGTAGTCGAGACACATTCGTCCCCGTGAGTAATTCCTCGACAATTTTTCGAAAAGCAAAAGTCCAGGTTTCTGGAAGTTGACTGCGTCGGTCCCAGAGTCTACAGAAATCGTGCATGCATGCTCTCATGGCCTTCCTATCCGTTTCCCTAACTCGGGTGAACAAAATAATGCCATCCGCATAAAGTAGATGAGTAATTGGAGGGCCATCTCCGGGCTGTTCTAGTCCATGAACAAATTGTTTTTGATTCACACGATTGATGTAATGCAATCGAGTAATTACGTTACCTAGGCCCTTAAATTTTGGAACAACTCTATTTTTCAATCGGCTTATCATGTCATGTGTCGCCGTTACATTGCAACTAGGTGTCACGAATCGTGATTCTCTCGTACTCTCGTAACCTTGTGAGTGGAGCTTGAGGTTATCGGGTGAAAAGTGAGTGATGCAAAAGAGATGAATACAATTGGGTCGCGGATCCTGATGAGGCCATGGTAGGTCGAAACCAGTTGTAGTGTCTTAAAGTATTATGCTTGTATCGCTCAATGGACTAAACGCCCGAGCTTAACTGGGCGTGATATGATCCGATACTAGGAAGCTATTCACGGTGGTGTTCTTTGGAACAACTGTAGAACGATGGCCAACCTGGTGTGAACGATCCACCAGGCTCCGCACAGGCAATTTCGCAGTTAAGAAACTGCGGGCCCGTGACACATGTATGAACGAAGTACTTTGATGTCCAATCATAAATTTCACATGGTAAAGAATAAGAAGCACACTTTATATCGATTCACGAAATGAATCATTAACCCATCTCATTTTCAACAAGACACCAAAAACAAAAGAGCATCATCAAGATATCCAACCGAGGGTTGACTATTTGAAGGACAGCGCTTAATGAAGGTTAATGAGAGGTGCTATGAATCTCAACTGTACCATACTGTGAATGCGGCAATGGGGAACGATGGGCCCGACTGTCAAGATGCTGACCCGAGAATTTCGTTCTTATCCATCTGCCGTCCACGGTGCCACAAAACATCGGCTGTTTACATGTACAATTTCGTATTTGCCGACGGCGAAACAAAGAAGAAACGATCCCAAGATGATGCTTCTCTCTGTCTCTGTCTCTCTCTCTCTCTCCACTCTTTCGAGATGTGGAACAGTAATCATCCGCATCGACTCTACCAACAAGAACATAAGTAAAACTATGCACGTCAAGCTTGGAGAAAAAGAGATCCAGATGCAGCTTCAGAAAACAATGTTAGCCCACTCAGAAAAATGACCATGTGTCTCCTCGCGCGTGCGTAATGAGGGGGGAAAGAGAGAGAGACAGAGAGGGAGTGTAGATAGAACAGAGAAAGTTCGACGGACGGTCTGAAAGTTTCACCATCCAACATAAGCCAAAGATCTCCACATTAAAGGTGTGATAAGCATCAACAAGTGACATATACCGTTCCACGCATGGAATGTCGAGAAGGTGAGAAGAAAATATATCCAATCCTTCCGACGTCTCAGCTCAGCTCAGGTGAGGAGCCTTTTGTCTGTAAAGCGCCACGGGGTCTAAGCTAAATGCCCCAAGTTCAAAACATGTGTATATTTGCATCACTTGCATAACATCAAGTGTGTCTTTGGCAATAATTACAAATGAAGATACGCTATCATGAGATTGCAAAATTCATCCCCCTCGGAAAAGAGACACATCAGTGAACAGGAATGAGGCCCTCCAATATTGCAATCTCATCTCCACTAATTAGCACCTGTACGAGATGAGTTAATAAATTATTGGATGTGGCATGAGACATCATTAACGCCCAATTAGCTACAAACCTTCTAGGATAAAGGGTTGGATTTGGTCAAGAGCCGGTGATTCAAACTGCTGATTCAGTTCGACTTCATTGGATGGAGGCGCCTCCAATTGCAGATTTTCCTTGGTATTTTCGAGGCTGGAGACTTCAGGCTGTGGGGAAGATTGATGAAGAGGTTGGTACTCGAGCTGCTGGTACTTGGGTTTGTTCTTCTTAAGGAGTACATAAGTGGTGTAATACCAAAACAGCAGTATTCTGCTTTGAGCTATGACCGTATCCCGAATGCGACTCCCTCCGAATGACAGCCTTTCAAGTGCCTGCAAAATATAGAAACACTGGGTCACGCAAATGAAGCATAACGGGATAAGGTACTCTCCTCAAAGCTTGGCTATTTAAGGCAGCTATCCAAATCCTCCAAGTAATAACACATTTAAGGTTGTGAGCAAAGCATTTATCAGCAACTTCAAGATGTGAAACCCCTCTTCTACTCGGCATAAAGTGAAGGCTGTGTGCTGTGTGTGTGAGAAAGGAAGCAGAGAGAATACTAAAAAGGAACTTATTTTATTTTTTTCTAGCCTCTTAGGATCTGCACATCTCCTCGACATATTTATTATTTATACACTTAACAAATAATTGCAGAGTAAATATTAAAGTCTACCCTTGGCTCAACATACGCCTATTCAATACATGGTCAAACTAGCAATTCCCATAAAAAATTTCAAATTTCTAGTGCATCAGAAGATTGGACAAGTTTAATATCCAACATAAAGTACCTTGCCAAAGGTCCTCAGACGAATGCAGATTTTCATGACACATTAAACTTTGAAAAATGACCTCATTCTTGACTAAATGTCGTGAATCATAGACGAAGCCTCAACAAATAATTTTAATGACCGTATGTAACATACAACAGGTCATGAGATGTTTTAAAAGAACTTCAACTGCTCTGTTACCTGTTCTCCAGTCTGTATGTCAAAGGAATGCTCATGCTCAAACTTAAGGCCACTAAACTCATTGATGCAAAGCCCCTGAAATGCCCTGAAAGCACAGAGCCAAATTTGTGAATCAATGCATCGAGATCATTTGTTAATGAACCATAAGTTGAAAAATATAATGTGTTTACCATCTGATAAGAGAGACACGAGGAATCCAGCGGAAAATTATTGGTGTGTTATCCGCATTTACGTAATAGCCACCAAATACAATGAATACTGTCATTAGGGATGGCCCCAGTGCCATTGCTGCTTCAGTGGTTGGAACCATTGCCCCAACTGTCAGTCCCATTGCAGATGCAGCAAATGATTCCACTGTCACAACTCCACAAAACTTTCCAAATCTGAAAAGTCAGAATCTTCCAACATGAGAGGTGAAGCAACGAAAAGGTTTAAAATGTACGCAGTTTTCTAGGCGTATGATTTTTAGAGATCTTTAAATGCAAGTAACATTCCAGCAGAAAACAATTTGGCCATAGTTGGCGATCAATGATGAGACTCCCACCGATAACAGAAAAGAACCCCAAAAAAATAAAAAGAAAAGAGAAAAGCTTACTGATAAAGAAAGGTAAAATACATGACCAAGCATGTGCTTTGACATACAAGAAAACACAATAGCCTTCTGCTCTCTGTTTTTTTTTTTGTTTTTGACACTCAACTTCCCTATGCTTCAGTTAGAATTAGAAGAGTTAGATATACTGTTTCAAGTTTTAGATGATCGAGAAAACACAAAGAGACATTGTCTAGTATATTAAGTTGAAGAGTTACATATTTATCATATTCAGAGTCAATAATTAAGCTTGTCAGTAACACTTCTTAGCACGAGGTTTTCAAGCATCACAAATCAAAGTATAAGATGTCTTTGACTAATACCAAATAGAGCCAGAAAAGAAGGTCTCCATGTCAATGTTAATGTATCCTTTTCGTAACCAGGCAACAAGTGCTATGAGCCACAACAACCCCTCACCCAGGTGCCATTTTGTTTTCTTGCTAAAGCATTTGGTGTTTTGAGCAATTTTCTTAAGGTAAAACAACCCTGTGTTCAAAGCTGCATCTCCCAAATGTTTCTGAGGAAATTCCTTCACCATATTCTATACCTACCTTCTTCTTTTTTTCAGAATATTCTACACCTACCTTAGCCCTATCCACTTTGGACAAAGAAGTGCAAGTGTTATCCTTTCACCGGTATCCTCTTTCAAATGCCAACTGGGCACCTTGTCCCTCCATATAAGTCCATAAAAGACGTTAAAACATAGTTTCTTCAATAAAGTGGCGAGGTGAGTCAATGATGTTAGTCGATCTGTAGCATATCAGAGTACTACAGTGCCGACCCCTCAATAGCACAGTTGGAGGATGGAAACTTGAGATAATTATATGACTTCGGAAAAGTTACATCTGGGATTTGTTTGCAGTTGAAAAGA